ATCTGTATAATAGATGTATCTGTATGATATATTATAGATGTATCTGTATGATATATTTTAGATGTATCTGTATGATATATTTTAGATGTATCTGTATGATATATTATAGATGTATCTGTATGATATATTATAGATGTATCTGTATAATATATTTTAGATGTATCTGTGTAATGTATTTTAGATGTATCTGTATAATAGATGTATCTGTATGATATATTATAGATGTATCTGTATGATATATTTTAGATGTATCTGTGTAATATATTTTAGATGTATCTGTGTAATATATTTTAGATGTATCTGTATGATATATTATAGATGTATCTGTATGATATATTATAGATGTATCTGTATAATAGATGTATCTGTATGATATATTATAGATGTATCTGTATGATATATTATAGATGTATCTGTATGATATATTATAGATGTATCTGTATGATATATTATAGATGTATCTGTGTAATATATTATAGATGTATCCGTGTAATATATTATAGATGTATCTGTATGATATATTATAGATGTATCTGTATGATATATTGTAGATGTATCTGTATGATATATTTTAGATGTATCTGTATGATATATTATAGATGTATCTGTATGTTATATTGTAGATGTATCTGTATGATATATTATAGATGTATCTGTATGATATATTGTAGATGTATCCGTGTAATATATTATAGATGTATCCGTGTAATATATTATAGATGTATCTGTATGATATATTGTAGATGTATCTGTATGATATATTGTAGATGTATCTGTATGATATATTATAGATGTATCTGTATGATATATTTTAGATGTATCTGTATGATATATTATAGATGTATCTGTATGATATATTATAGATGTATCTGTGTAATATATTATAGATGTATCTGTGTAATATATTATAGATGTATCTGTATGATATATTGTAGATGTATCTGTATGATATATTATAGATGTATCTGTATGATATATTGTAGATGTATCTGTATGATATATTTTAGATGTATCTGTATGATATATTATAGATGTATCTGTATGTTATATTGTAGATGTATCTGGGTCTAAAAGGAGAAGAATGGTTAGTGGTAATTTGGTCTCAGGACAAACTAAATATCTGGAATTATATTGTAAGGTAAATATCATCTTCTTTACTAAAAATATAAAGATAAAAAAAGGTATGTTCTGAATTGGTGGCGGTAAAGTTAGGAAAATATTTCATTATTTTAGTGAGGTTTATTAAGATTGAAGGATCATTTTGGAGGCACAGTGGTAATTGAAAACATTTGCTCTTAAACAATTAAATTGTAGCCCTTTACAAAAGTCTGGATGAAGTTTCTATAGATCTTTTTATTAGTTTTGATTTGTTTTCTTTTCAGGATTTCCAGATACATACGTTTGGATTTAAATTTACTTCAAAGGATCAAGCTAAGTCAGTGAGTAAATTTTTGTAAGGATTTCTAATGCTATTTGTTATCTTAAGTAATTTGTTGGAATTCTGTAATAAGTTACTATTCAAGGAACACTTTAATGCTTGAAGCAGATATTTGACTATGTTTCATATTTCCAAAATATGATATTAAGCAGTCACATGTTCTAAAAACTAAAGCAAAAATTGAAATATGAATCATAATGGCTAACATATTGTATTTTTTTAGATTATGAATACATTAATACATCATACTGTACCAACTAGAGCTGATCTATTATTTGCTTATGATTTTGGTGATAATCTTCAAGATGATAGTAAGTCTATGTAGAGATATCTTACAATTCTATAGTTATATGCTTAGTTAGTTAGTGAAATGCTATATATCATAATTTAAGGGTAACCTAAGTCTACAATTGTGTTATTTATTGGGGATCAAGTCTGCAATTCATGTGATGTCTTTATCATATTCCTTTTGGGGCATATTTTACATTATATTGCATTAGGAACACCATTTGCCACACTTCACTGGGTTTTCCATTTTCAATTCTACCCTAACTCTGACTATGTTTGAAATTTAATCTTGTTATTTTGTAGCATATGGTTCAGTTGATGGTTCTGTACCAGAGTTTACTCAGAGATCAGATTGGGATCAAGAAATAAAACGTCTAAATTGTAATTTAGGCTGGAGAGTTACTGATGTTAATACTAACTTCGTTATGAGCACAAGGTATATTACCGGTATATTAGATCAATATCAACTAGACAGGACTGGATATTATTATTCTATACTCAAAATGATATAAAAATAATATCTCATAATAATTTATTATTTAATTTAAAAATTGTGTATACTGCCCCTTTAATGGAGAGGATAAAAAAAAAAAGAACCATCTGACTGTTTCAATGATTTTCTCCATTTTTTTGAACCTTTGGATTGCATTTTGGAATTTTAGAGAGGTGGTTTGGTTTTCTCCTTGTGATTAAGGACACTTGTTTGATTATTTCAGTTTACCAGAATATTTTATTGTTCCGTCACAATGTTTAAATAATGATTTAGAACAAGTTGCTGCTCAATTTCCTGGTGGAAGATTACCTGTAAGTATTCTTCACTCCTGGTCAGTAAGCTTTACTTTTACTCCATGACCCCCATTGTTGAGGAGTTCAGGGTGTAGGTTTTGTTTCATAGTACTGCATTTGTCAGAACTTTTGTAAGACGCAAATCACACATATTGAAGGTTTTGGACAATGTCTTTGTCGTTGTATAAAGATATGGTGCATATCAAATTTTATTGAAATTACATAATTCGTTGATGTAACTTATAATAGGTTTGGTGTTTCACCTATAAAAATGGTATTAGTTTATGTAGAATGTCTCAGTTACAACAAGAGTCAGAATTTAAAATATATGAAGTCAGGTATGTACTGGCAGATTTCTTCATAATTCAATATATTCAATGAAGAATTGACAGGGGCCTTTCATCAAAATCCTTATTAATAATTGTTATGATGAATTCTTTACAGATTATGTTGTTATGTAGATAATGACATGATCTTTGAGTTTTTAATTGATAATAAGAAAACAGCAGTTTTGGATTAGGGTGGAATATAAACCATTATGAGAAATGTAACCAAAATTCAACTCAATGTAATAAAAGGTGTGTTATTTTTAGAATGATAAGTGCAATAAAACAGTCAGGTACGAGTAAAAATGAGCCAGAAATTATAGATTTATCTCGATGCTGTCCAACAATACGTGATATTCAACAGAGTTATGAGAAATTAAAAGAGTTATGTATGACAGGTAAGCTGGGTATTGTCTTTTATTTATAGAAATTTTATAGTGCTTTTTACACTTAATAATATAACTCCTTGGTACAGGTAGGCCATACTTTAGTCTCAGAAACTGGATTATTTTATCTGAACTAATCAGAAATATTGTTCACAGCTCACTGTTGAAATTTGAGTCTTCAAATCCACGTTTGTCCAGAATTGAATGTTAAAATGACGACTTGTCAATATAAGATACTCTGTGATATTTAGAAAAGACATATATAGAAGTGAGTAAAATTCACTGCTGACTGTTCATATTCCTCAAATAAAATTGCACACAGCAGCATAACCAGATACATTTAAAGAATTGTCTTGATTGGCCAGCCATTAAAGTTAAAGATACATATGACTCATTATTATGAGACTAGCAAACCAAGACTACTGTGATTTATGAATAATTATCCAGTCTAAAATAAATGAATAAAACTGTTGATACTTTGAAAACTTTTATTGTAGTGTCATTGAAAGAGTTTGAGATCAATGATTTATCATGGTATGGTAATCTAGAGAGTACGCAATGGTTAATTATTATAGCTAAATGTTTACAAACCACGGACGAAGTTATTAAGTTGATGGTAAAGAAACAAACAGATGTGGTGCTTAAAGGTAAGGAAAGAGAGGAAAGAAACAACTATATTTTACAAGGATGACAAATCTTGACCAAACCTCATGTTATATTGATCTTTACCAGATTATCCATACCCAAGTAAGAGTGAAGGTCACTTATTCAAGATCATCAGACTTTCACACGCTATCAGAGATTAGAACCAATGACCACCATTATCACTATATGTTAAAAGAAATAAAGTATAATTGTTTTACAAGGATATCATGGAGGATCCTATCCACCAGCTGGTCACATACCAAACTACTTGGCGTTAACCTTCCCAGATTATCCATACCCATGAACAGCTGGGTCGACTAGAAGCTATGATATATCCTTTATATTTGTAGAAGAGAAAAGTTTAGACATATCTTGTGTGATATCAAGTTTAGTTCAAATTTGTCTGGACCCATTTTTTCGAACCATGAATGGCTTCCAACAGTTGATTCAGAGAGAATGGGTAGCAATGGGTCATCCGTTTCAACTGAGACATAAGTTTGTGGCATCTAATGAAATGGAGCAGGTAGTAGATATATTTATTGCTAATTTACTAACTAATTGATATTTTCAATTGAAATGCTCAGACATCCCTATGTATATCATGGAACTCCAAACATAAATATTTTTTTTGTTGGTATAATTTCCTAGTTTGAGTCCTTAGAATTATGAAATGTCCTCCAAGCTTTTACATGAAGAAACACCTCTATTTCTCACCAATTCAGAAATTTCTGCTTCCAGGCTCCAGTGTTCCTGATATTCTTAGACTGTGTCTGGCAACTGATGAACCAATTTCCTTCCTACTTCGCCTTTACAGAGACTTATTTAACCACGCTATGGGACAGTGTTCATTTAGGACTCTTCAAAACATTCCTTTTTGATAACCTTCATCAACAGAGAAAGTTTCTACGTGAAGGTCGAAAACTACGCCATATTAATTTACCGTCAGTGTGGAACTGGTCTACCCAATTTAATGATAGTGATATGAAACTTTTTAATAACCCTTTATATAATATTAAAACGTTATCAATTCCTGTAGAAGGGCAGAATGGTGTGACTTTGGCGCCACCAGAGTCCGTGCTACGAGACAATATATATAGACGACAGTTACATGGTTTATACAAGGCAGATATACCATTGTTTGCAAAGACTGAGGAGACAATCCGACCACAATATACGGCAGCCATGATTAAACTATGGAATCAATGTTATTTAAGGTGGAACGTCCCGGCAGAAATTATTGGTGGCGGCAATCCATCACAATACCTACAGCAATGTCTGTTAGTCGAAGAGATCATTTATCTACAAGATACAGTTTTAAGACTGGAGAAAAAACAGTCGCGTAAAATGCGACCAAAAAGTGACCTTATTTTTAGTTATGATGAACCCCAATCTCCATCATTCCTGGATTCTACTTTCCTTACTTCTTCCTTTCCGTTCTCCCCAACTGCATCCTCCAAATCATCAATGAATTGTCCCCCTTTGTCCAGTTATTTACAATATAGCACTATAGAATATGATTATACAGACGCCGTTGAATAATGAGTTAAAAAAATTTTATTTAATGATTGCAGAATGGTTTTATTTAATGATTGTTGATTAACTTTTATCTTAACTCCTGTCCTTATATATCAAGTTCAATATACAATAGCACTTGAAAAAATGCATTTATGCATTTGAATAATTAGTAGTTGAGGTTGAGTAATTTTGATATTTTAATATCATAAGGGCAAAATGTTTGTATCAAATTTTAATTTCTTGGTGAATATAAAAAGTAATAAAATTTTATATTGTTTTGTAGTGAATGAACATTGAGTTTTATCATGATAACAAAGTCTTTTGAATGTTCAGAATAGAATTTCAATGTTTTTTGTTTTATTTTGAGTAATTCAGACCTGGTTGAAAGACATTATTTTCAGATTCTTTCTTTTAAATAGGGATCAAGTGATTGCTAGAAAGTGCTAAGGTATTTTATGCGATATAGATGTAGATAGAGGTTTGATAAAGATAATCAAACATTTGTGTACATCTTGGACCATTTTAAAACAAAAATACACAATCCACTGTTTTTCTTGTAGGTATTTTAAGTAGTAATGGACACTATAAATCTAACTTAAACTGTGTCTTCTAACTATTATCTATTTACCTAATAATTACATGGACCATTCATGTTTTGAATCATCCCCGCAATGTCTAGTTATTACGCTGTATTTCATATCTCAAATAGCCACTTTTCATGCATCTCACAATGCAGCAATTTGATTGGATTGTACGCGGGCGAATACAGCCAATCAATGCTCTTGACATATAGACTGTTATAGTCAAGGTATTAGATATAGTTTGTAATAGCTTGATATTGTGAAGTTGTACAACAATATTATAGTCTGACTATAGCTGTGGTAGTATATCATAGCAATATATATGTATAGATTGTATATTTTGTAATCCATTGTATTATTTACGACATAATTTATTTTCATAATCATTCTCTAAATCAACCTTTATCTGATGATCCTATTTCTAAAATTACCTTTTAAGATTGACAAATATGGGTTAAAGCCAACCCAGTTTGACTGAAACCTTTCACTTATTTTACTCTACATGGATTTTTAAGTCCTTCTTTTAACTCCTGTTTGGTTGTTCAATTTTTTTTAGTGCTACGTATTTTAATTGTGAAGTATTAAGATGAACTCTTCATGCTTAAGGTGTTCTACCTTTTGGAATCATTCTCTATTATAAAAAAGAATAGGCTTGTTTGTGTTGAAAAAAAGTCATGCCACTGAAACTGAATAAGATTTTATTTTCAAGGTGAGCCTTCAGTTCACCACTTTTTAAATATATAGGCTTAAGAAAAGGGTGTCTGTCGTAGGGATAAACAATATATATGGAGCAACTCACATGCTCATATAGGCATTAATATTTTAAATAGAATATCTATAGTAGTTGTGGAAGATATTTATTTATAACCAGGGCAATTTTATTAGCCTAACCAGGAGCAGAAAAGTAGAAAATAAAACTTCAAGTAGTGTTTCAATGCTTGTTTTTCGTGTATGGAACATAAATCTGTTCAAAGTAGGCTATGTTATAATTTTGATAAATTTATGTTTTTTTTATGCAAGATTTTATCCCCACTGTAAGAATATTTAAAAGAGATATAAATATTACGTGAGAGTATATAAATATCTATTCTTTGTTAATTATATTATATATTGTTATACACCTCTTATACTGTCAATAAATACATTCAAATTATTTATTTTACCTTGTCTATCAGCTGGTCCGTGGCCAAACCTCTTGGCATTGATCTTTCCTATTCGGAATACTAAAATGTTTGCCTTATCAGCTGTACTCAATAATGTTCACAAGAGAATGAAGATATTTCAGACTGCTACAATATGCTTAGCTGTATATTTAGTGTGAGCTGGTAAAACAGATGAGACAAATATATTAATTACACTGTATCAGATTTGCCAGAACCTAAAATGATCAGTTTGGAGAATGAACAGACTAGGGAGAAGACAAAATATGTCCACAATTAAACTTGACACATATATATAGAACATTTAGAGTAGAAAATAATGAGTTTAATATTAGCCTGTAATTAACGAATATCAACAAATAATTAGTAGAGTATGAAATAGATTTGTTGGTTGACGATGGAATGAATACTAATGATATTACAAAACACAATCAACTTCAATAATTCAAATGATAACCCTAAACTCTTAGAGAACAAAATTCTATAACACTAACATTTAACAATATGACCTATGGAAGAAGTTAGAATGATTGAATTAAATCTATAACATGATTTTTTGTTAATGGTTGATTGGAAGTATCATATTTAAAATTAAATGAATGAATAAGACCAGAAATAAAAATTATAATATAACTATCTTGTTCTTCAGTATTAACAACATTCTTCTACTACTAGCACTAAATCTCTATCACATTATATCTTTACATTCTCTTGATTGCAGCATCTATATCTTCCATGTGGTCTTTTAAAGCAGCCCATTGTTCCAAAGACAAAGAGATTCCTGGAATTATGGATAGATCTAAGTGTAATGTTATAAAACAATCAGTGCTATATGTCTTACGCTTTAGTACCAAGTTGTACTTAGAAGACTGGTACTGTTGTACAGAGAGAGCCCCCTTTGTCCACCAATTTATGCGCTTGCTCGTTAATCCAGGTCACAATAGTACCTTTTTATTTTTCACCTACATTTTCCACTAACAATGAAGAAGCTTCTTGTCATTGATGTGGAAATAAATCTAGGAAATTTGTTAAAAAGGCAGAGCATATTCAAGCGTATTGACTCCCTTATTTACCACTGACAATGCCCTGCAAGACAGTCTTGATAGAGAAAAACATGTTAATTGTTCTGTATTTGCCTACCTTTTTTACCAGGTCTCATTTCACCATCAGCATCATAATATTCTCTTATACCAACCATAACTTTACCACGAAACTCACTAACAGATACATATCTCATTCTAGCTAACTGAAATACATGTCATAAACTCACTAACAGATACATATCTCATTCTAGCTAACTGAAATACATGTCATAAACTCACTAACAGATACATATCTCATTCTAGCTAACTGAAATACATGTTATAAACTCACTAACAGATACATATCTCATTCTAGCTAACTGAAATACATGTTATAAACTCACTAACAGATACATATCTCATTCTAGCTAACTGAAATACATGTTATAAACTCACTAACAGATACATATCTCATTCTAGCTAACTGAAATACATGTTATAAACTCACTAACAGATACATATCTCATTCTAGCTAACTGAAATACATCACAATATTAGGCTAATGAAGATGGTCAATGCCATACAATATGCAATGAGAGATCAGCATTAGCCTAACCCTTTTCTATTTCCAACTGTCAAGGGACAATTAAGATGCACAGCCTGTAGCTAATGGGTCCTTGGGTTTTGTCCTGTCCAGACGCCTCCAAAACTACAATCATTTGTTTTTCGTTTATTTGGTTATGTAGTTGTAACAGTTAAAGGAAATGTTAAACAGTTTTCTAAATTTTTAATGTGTACTATGGAAACTGATAGCATCAAGTTGCACTATTTCAATTTTCAATCAAGACATCCTGTGGTTTCAGCAATTCCACTAAAACTAAGTGTTTGATGACATAACAAATCATGCGGTGCCTTAAAAGCTATAAGATACAACAATCTTTTGCTTAAGCTACCAAAATTTGGAAAAGCTAAAGGTAACTGCCAATGCTAGTACAGCAAAAACCTCACAATCAATCTATACCTCACCATGTTAATTCTCTATCATACCTGCCACATATTTTCATCTCCAGATTTTGATGAGGCACCTTTACTTTTACTTTCAGATTTCTTCTCTTCTTTTTCTTTTTTCTCCTTTTCTTTCTTTTCTTTGTCTTTCTGTTCTTTTTCTAACTTTCTTTTTTTACTTTTAGCTTTTCTCCTCTATAAAATATTTTATCATTCAGCACTAAAGGTATTATATATACTTGAAATTCATCCTACTTTTTTGGTGCATTGAAGGACCTCAGAACCCTTTCTGAATTTAGAGGGCACAAGTCATGGTGGGGAATTAGTGGGGGCCTTATTTTTACCCTAAATACCGTACTGATAAGAGACTGCAAATTTCATATCTATATAAAATTATGATGTCATCATAAATTTTATAGGTTCATCTACAACAAGATGGCTTACAATGCTCATAAACCAAAAGTTCTACCCATTTTCAAATAAGTTGTCCTGCAAGCAATTCCATATTCCAGGAGAATAAGATAAGGTCTTGTCAATAAACAATATAAATTGATTACAAACATCTTTATTTATTAATAAACAACTAAAATACTCATAAAATATACTTTAAATTCAACAATCTCAATATATTTCACACTCTACTAAACATAGCTTATCTTCAAATATTACCACTAGACTGATATATTCTATAGTTAGTCCAAGAAATAATTTTAAAGACTAGCAGATATGAATTTGAAAATACTATATTTTTCCATTGAACACTAAATATGTGGTTTTCTCATGGTTTAAACACTACTTGATTGGGAATGATCTTTATACTGTAGTTTATCACATAATCTGTGAGCAATCATTCTACATAAATTAATCTAAATTCTTAACTAAAATATACTCATGTTAGTAGCTAACTGTATAATATAAGTGGTGCACTATGACATGATGAATATAAGGTGGAGCTACTAACTATTTATAAGCTAGAAGGTGATAATATTTTGTTAAATTAATATTAAATTCATCATTAACAATTGCTAAAGATTTCTTAATAGTTTATAATTTAACAGTGACAGCTTCTAATAATTTAATATAATGAAATAATTTATCTTTCGTATCAAAATCACTCTGTAAGCCTAAAATACGTAAATTACCAGCTGTATAGGATTCTAGAATACCTAATTTAGAAAACGATTTTACACAAACTTTTAAAGAATCCAAGGCACAGCTTTCATTATATTCTAATTTTGATCCTCGGGCTTGGGATTTAGCAAAATGATTCAAATGTTTGATAAAATCGTCTTCTGCCAATTCAGTTTTTAATGATACATCAATATATTTAGCTGTTGTTAGATACGACTCACAGCAAGATGCCAAAACTGACAGCAAAAATTTCATTTTCTGTTGAATATCTTCCCGGGTTAGATTAAGTTTGAATTTCTGCGGTACTGGTGCTTCGTATCCGAAATCGTACTCCTCATCATCTTCATCAGCCCATGATACAGCAGCAGACAAATTTCTGCTCCAATTTCTGTCACTTTCGTTCAGCATTTCTCCAAACCCTGTGTCTTGGTACAATATTTCTGATATCATGAGCTTTTCCAAGATGTCTGACAACTCTTCCATTAAGTTTTTACAGGGTGGTATGAAAATGAATTCCTGAGAAAGAATATTGCAAATTTCTGCTGCAGTTTCAATAATCTCTTCTTTAGTGACTTCAATTTCACCACTCGACTTAGTTTTAGGGTTTTTCGATACATACACTATCGCTATGGCAACAATACTCTCCATCAAGAATACAGAAATCACGTTATTTCCATAGTATGCTAATTCAAACACATGAGGTAAATTTAAATTAGGTTTCACCATTAGAATATTTTGATTTTTAGAATCCATTTCAACACTGGTCAGTTTGGATCCCAGCAGACCCACGGCATTGTGGATTGCATCAGACATATCTCCACTGAATCCAATATCACGACCATGTTCCCGAATTTCCTTCACCAGAATTTTCATACTTAACGATAATTCATTAATATTCGCACCATTTCTATACTTGGTCAACAGTAGGAAACAAACTAAATGCGTACTCATCAAAGCTGTGCATTGCGTTGCCGTATGAACGATGTGCTTCCCAAGATTCTCAACTATTCCACGATCTAGGTCTGGTGATGCACAAATTGCAGAAGTAAGATTTGGGTAAGATGAAGTCATGTTTGGTGGTGAATCTGGTGTAACATCAATACACGTTGAGTCTCCATCTGATCTTTTATGAACATCTAAAAATTCCTTCAATGAGAAGGGTTGAGCGAAGTCCATACGTACACTTCCATAATCACTTATAAAAACATTAATAATGGCTTTCACTGCTCTAAAAAATGATTCAGAAACTTTGGGAAGTCCCATTTGTTCCCGACAGAAATTACCATCTATCAGTTTATCATAGCTGATACTAACAGGTACGATATAGGCATCTGGTATGTGTCCCTTAACACAGGTCTCGGCAACTACAGACAATAACCCACCCTTCGGTAACGTGCTCTTTCCTGAGCGACTACGTCCACCTTCCACAAAGAACTCCAGAGCTTCTCCTTGTTTTAATAATTCTTCTACGTAAGTATGCAGCAATGTTCTATAAATAATGTCTTTTTCACCAGGCACTTTATCCAATCTACGTCGAATAAAAAATCCACCAAATTTACGGAGTAATTTATTAAAAAAGGCAATGTCAAGGTTATCACCAGCGGCAACATAAGGTATACGAACATTGTAGTTATAAACTAAGAAAGATATCAGTATATAATCTAAATGGCTTCTATGTAAAGGGAGATAAATAACAGGTATTTTTTTAGACGCAGCTTCCTGTAGCATCAAAATCTGTCCTCTGTGAACAATGAGCTTTTTGAGAAATAACGACAACACTGAATGTAAAAACCAAAATGTCAACCGTAAAATCCACGCTCCAGTACTGGCCTTCATTTTGATCAAAGTTTTCTTGGCTCCCTTTATAATTGATTCTTGGATTGCTCGAGTGTCTTTTCCAGCATTCCTAGAATAAGTGATGACGGATGTTTTTTGAATTGCTTCAAGCACGCGATTGTTCGTAAATACAGCTATTGACACATCAGGATAATGGTGTTGATGATTCATTTGAAAAGTTCTGGTCAAAATTGGAAAACGTCTTTGAATCCAGCCAGAATCTCGGAGAAACGGTTTTAAATCAAAAATATTGTGAAGGCCGTTTTGATTGAATATATCAACAGTTGCCGTCTGTTTACTAATTGGTAGACAGGAACAACACAATCCCATAAAAGGGCGTATAGTTTGGATGTCTTTTGCTAGCACCATTGGTGTAGATTTGAAAGATGCTATTGAATTCACATTAAATGTTGTGGTGTCGTCTAATTTGAGTCTTTCTCGTTTCCTAGGAATGGGTCTCCCCGGGGGTGGGGCTGGTATGGACACGGGCAGGTCTCTCGTCATTTTGGATCTGTTTGACATTCAATACAACTTCTAACTTCAATTTGATGAATTATTTGGCATTTTGTCCATCTACCAACTACACTTCACAAACTATTTCCATTTCAACTTCTAAACTATTTCAACTTTTTTTTTTCATTCATTCAGCCATCTTTTTCAATAAATTTCATCTATTTCTGCCATAATGTCTGGAAATATAGTAGAAAAGTCTTTCAGTTTCTTGATACACATTATCACATCTTCTGACTTCAAATTTCCAAAATCCAACCATGAATCAAAATAATTTCAAGTCAGGCTTTAGTTTTAGAATATTTATTATCAAAAAAATTAACTACTACATCCAAATTATGTCACATTTTATCTTTAAAAAGATAATGATAAAATAATAATTGATATCACCAAGGTCAACAACCAAGATATTATACCTGTCAAAATATACATGTCAAAAGCTATAACTGATCTTGATACATGTACAAAGTCTGGACGCTCTCTTGAATCCTTTCAAAACAAGGTTCAATAATGGTATCAGATGTAAACATGGGAGAAGATCTGGGAAATGAAATAAGCGATGATTTAAAGCATTTGATTTATCATGGGAAATGGTGATATCTTTCTCAAACCAATTCAGTTCAATAAAAGCAATCACAGTACAACCCTGTAAATTTTAGATTAGCTTTAAGATCTACACTAAATTTTGAAAGTTGGAAATCCTCAAAGAAAAGATTACTTCAACATAATGGTCAGAAAAAGAGGTAGAAATCACTAGGCCAATAGTAACAACACCAGATCACACTAATGTCACTGCATCTAGCCGGTATATCTTGGTTGATACAGAATTAAAACATTGATATCAAACTAACCTCAGCCTCCGAATCAGATCCAGAGTCTTCAGATGTTGTAATAAATTCTTTTGAATTTGGCATCTTAACTTGGTCTATATTTCTAACTTCTTATTCTCAATAGACCTACAAGTACAATTCAGATTTAAATGACATATAAGGATGAGAATTATATATCTATTACAAAAATCCACAGTCATACTGTTTTTTACTAAGGACCTACATAATTTATTTGATGAGTAATGGAACTATTTTGTGTTTTTGTTTGATCTAAAATTTACAATAGGTTATGTCCGACTATGTTAGTATGTACCTATCATTTCTTTCTCTTCCCTGTCAAAGGTTTAAGAATAATTTCTGCACCATACACAGTGTCCTAGTGGCCCTGCTTTAAGCTTCGGCCTGTGACAGTGCTAGTGCCACTGACAGGATCCTCTAGTAGAGCCAGCAAGTGTTTTAACACACTCAACTACTTTGATTGCCACAGTAGGCTACGTAGTAGTAGGCTAGCCAAATGGATGAATAATATTGATGAGGATGAGGGTAAGATAAATGAATTGATGTTTATTCCTGCTCTTGAAATACATTCAACTCAATAATGCTGTCAAAAACACAACAGAAAATCATGGACGAAGCGGTCAAGTTGATAATCGGTGTAGGCTATGCATAAGGCTCTTAGTTATATCATTTATTTAAGAATTTGAGAAACCATGCTCAACCTTAGCTAGCCTGTTTTTTCAATTAATAACAGCGTGTTTCAAGTTCACGAAGAGAGCGCCACTATTTAGTAAATAAGAGTTATCTTTCTTGAAAATCTGAAATTTAAAGCTATCATGTTTACATAAAAATTATCTTTGTAATTCATTTTTTCTTCATTAGTTATAATATTTCTACCTTCTGATGAAAGAAGCTTGTAAATTCATATTATTGAGAGACAATACTTTGATATCATAGATTTAGATTAGTTTTTCAATATTATCTTTCAACATCTAAATAAAGTATTGTCAATTTTTGTGACGTCATGGCAGCTTTAAAAAATTCCATTTTAG